AAAAAAAAAAAAAAAGAAAGAAAGAAAGAAAAGAAAAGAAAAGAAAAAAATCATGATGGAATTTTAGCTGCAGTCTTCTTGGTGCCAGTTTATCAATCCCAAACTCTTGAGTGTAAAAGATTCTGCAGGGGTAATGTTTTAATATTCTTATTATGCTTATTCTCTGTGATGCTTCTCTACCTTTACAGTGGAATCCTTGGGGAAGTCTTTCATTTTGATGCTGCTGGCTGCATGTTTTAGCATGTGTCATCTATTAGACCGTCCAGGCATGGCAGTTTCCTCCCCCAAGAGTGTAGGGACCATCTTCATGCCTATGCCTGTAGCTAGGCATGAGGGGTATCTGGAGATGGATGAGGAAAAGGAGGGATGTTATAGAGGCAGTATGATACTAACAAGGCTGTCAGCTAATATCAACTCATTGCAGCCTTGCTGGTGTCTGAAAGGTCTACTTTAAAAGAAAATTTTATGGAAACAGTAAAATAGCATATGTTATTTTAGATTTCCCTCTGTTTTGTCTGACATATATTGCAGAAATTAATTGGATATTAATGCATTTAACTCTTTTAGAATGCATTTTATATATTTAAATGGGAACTCTCATTCCTGTAGCATGAGGACCTAAATGGATAGATATTTTTAAAAGAAAAAATAAATAAATAAACAAATGATTTTGTACGAATGGCATTCAGGCATCAAACCTTTTAGTTGCACTACTTTAAGTAGAATAGAAGCTCCTGCTTCTTGTTCACAGATAACATTTAGAATGATTGGTGTGTTGTTATTTACTTTAGGATAGTAAAATGTGATTAGAACACCACTAAAAATCAATTTATATTATATCCAAGACCCATATAATAGAAGTTTGCTTAAAAGATAAACTATCTTAAACTTCTTATTTTCTTCAAGTCCAGATTCTGAAATGGCCACTCTAACTGCTATGCTGAATTTTTTTTGTGTGTGAGATGGGCACTATTGGAGGAAATAGGTTCTCTCTACAGTATTCCTGAGGTACTGCAAATTTTTTGATTTGAGAAGCAATTATACTAGCTAGCAGCAGGTTGCTAAGCCAGGGGGTCCAAGCTACAGACCTCTGACGTGGGTGACTTTCTGCTCGGTTTGGCCGGAGCTGGATCCCTTCCTGTGCAGCTTCCGAGCAGGTCCATCACAGTCAGGCATCCCCTACTCCTTCCCCCTCCCTTGCTTTCAGCAGTGTCTACCTATGGTTCCATAGCCTGGGATGTCAGGATCTCCAGAGCTCTTTACCAGGTACGTTGATTTTGAGTAAGCTTATAAAAGGTAGTAAAGTGGGCCAAAGGGAACATGGAAAAATAACAGATACACATGCAAGATCCTCATAAGCCTGTATTGTACAATTTTGTGACTTTTCATCTCGTTTTGAATCTCTGATATTTTTTTCAGAAAGGATGCTGAAAAAGATGGCTGCCAAAATAGTCACACAAATGAAACAGCAAGCGTATACCAATATCCTCCATTTCCAAGCTCTGAACTGAATATTTTTCCCAAAGTAACACAATCACTTAAAACATTTTGGGTGTGGGAGATTAGATTACCTCATAGACACCTACTGAATGTGAAAGATAGATCTCCATGCAAGCAAATGAATGCATGCATGAGAATTCCCTGCATACAAAATACAGTTTCTTTAACAACAACAAAAAAAATTATAGAAATCTTGTTTCATATATTTTATCTCAGTGTCATGTAATTGCCACAGTTACCTTTTATCCTAATGGCCATTACTTTTTTTCCTTGTTTCTATAGCACTTTCTTATGCAAGGAGCTAAACAGTGATTAAAGGATCAGGATGAAAAGATGGCACAGTCAGTGCTGGTACCACCAGGACCTGACAGCTTCCGCTTCTTCACCAGGGAATCCCTTGCTGCTATCGAACAACGCATTGCAGAAGAGAAAGCTAAGAGACCCAAACAAGAGCGCAAGGATGAAGATGATGAAAATGGCCCAAAGCCAAATAGTGACTTGGAAGCAGGAAAATCCCTTCCATTTATTTATGGAGATATTCCTCCAGAGATGGTGTCAGAACCCCTGGAGGACCTGGACCCATACTATATCAATAAGAAAGTGAGTTCTTAGTCAAATTGCTTTATTTCCCCTACTTAGTGGTTGGTCTGGCCTAGTTTCAAGGTGTCTAGTAAAGAATGTTGTGCCCCTTCCATCTAAGGTACCACTAGGGTGCTAGACGGGCCTGAGCATGAAATGCACCTATTAATTTAGAAGTCTTGTGGAAACACCCATCTGAGCTTACAATCTTGGGAAAGGCAGAAAACTAACGTCATCCTGCAGTGAGGGAACTGGAAAAGGGCAAAATACTTAAATACTAGTTACATTTCTAAGTAGAGTGAAAACCCCAATTCCCTTGCAATTTGATAAAGCAAAAGTGAAAACTAGGGCCCATTTATAAGTTGACTTTGTATTTCAATTAAGAGTATCTAAATATCTCTTTATAATTCCTATATCTAAAAGAGCTACCATGATGTTCAGCAGGTTTGTCTTCCTCCCATAGATTTTAGCCCTTTCCAGGACCCTGTGCAGAAGAAAGCACAACAGGTGATGTGTAAGTTCAAAAAAAAAAAAAAAAGATTGAGCAAAGCGTACCCTTGGAAAACTGTGACATTCCCATGAGAAAACTTTTCTCTAACTGAAGTAATCAAAGCTTCCTTTCTGTGTTGTTTGTAAATTGTAGGTGCACTTGGCAAAAACTGGTATTAAAACTCAGTAGACATGAACTCAGTAGAAATGCTTAGAATTCCTGTAACATTGACCGTAAATTCTATTTCTTTAATCCTCATGTCACTTGTCAAACTTAGGGGAATTTACAATGCTCAGAAAGAAATAGCACTCATCCTCATTTCTTTCATTGGTAATTAGTGTATTATTAGTACATTGTTTTATGGAACAATATTTCTAAATAATGCTCTAACCTTTCTCTTAACATATCTTTATATATCTCCTAAAACCTGTTCTACATGTTGTGTGTTCTTTTTCAGACATTTATAGTATTGAATAAAGGGAAAGCAATCTCTCGGTTCAGTGCCACTCCTGCCCTGTACATTTTAACTCCCTTCAACCCGATTAGAAAATTAGCTATTAAGATTTTGGTACATTCATATCCTTTTTTCAAGTAATCTCTTAATATAATTTTGCTAATTGACCTGATTATTGAGTATGGCATATTTCAAAATGCATGCGGTTAGCAGTGTTATATTCTCTTTCTTTTTCTTTCCTCTTACTCATACTTAGCATAGTGCATGAACGGAACCATGGGTAAGTACACTGTTGTCCTCACCTTCTCAGTATTTCTCCTTTACCTGACTCACTACTGCCTTCTCTTTTTCTTCTCTGCTCCCTTATGAATTGCTTTCCACTTTCACACCTTCTTCATTAATTTTGACCCTATGAGTCTCCTTCCCACATGTCTTCAGTTTTACAGTGTTGGATAATAAATTCCATGAACTAATTTTCTTTGCTGCCTTTCCACATGGAAGATATATACATAATTTGAATCGTATATTGTTATATATTTTTGGTCTGGATTTTATTACTTTTGCTTTTCATTTCAGCATTTGAAAACTTTTAAGTTAGTAAAGTTTAAAAGTGTGTCTTTATAAACACCAACCTGCCAAGTACTTCTTAAAATTATTTTCCCAGCAGGATTCCCACTGATTTCTCTTTAACCTTTTCTCGTTCCTCCCTCCCTCCCATCTTCCTTCCTTCCTTCCTCCTTTCCTTCCTTCCTTCCTTCTTGGCAGTCATACCTATGTTTTAGTCAAGATATACATTCTGCTATAATTATTGTAACCCAAAAGTTTAATGTCTATAACAAAAAAAAAAAAACCCTCACTGCTGTGGAGTCCGATCCAACTCATAGCGACCCCTCCTTGGGTTTCTGAGGCAGCATCACTATGGAAGTAGATCGTCCAACCTTCCTTCCGAGAAGTGGCTGGTGGGTTTGAACTGCCAGCCTTCTGGTTAGCAGTCAAGTGCCTTAGGCAGTACACCACTACCCATATATTTCCTCGATTTATTTTTTATTCTCTTTATTTGAAGTATCTACTTTCTGGAAATTAGATTTATGACAACTTCATAAAAGACGGTAACATGGTTTACTCCTAGAATTTAGATAGAAGAGTTAGGATTGATAAATTTTATTCCAAGACAGGGCTAGTGGTCTGGCTGACAGGTCTGGAAAAGCCAAGGAAGTAAAGGTTAGAAGACTGGTTTGACAGGCAAGGCACTTATGAGAAGAATGCAGAAGCCTTGGAATGAGAACTAATTTGCATCAAGAATCAGTAGTAAGGATAGTGAAACAGAAATTTAACCAAATTCTCAACTAGAGCAGTTTTCAATGTTCTTTCTTCTGTTAAAGTAATTGCTTGGGTTTCTACGACATGGTCAGCCCAGGACCTGGCTCTTACACTATATGACATTTGTTGTTATTGTAAGGAAAGCGAAACAGTAATTTAACCAAATTCTCAGCTAGGGCAGTATTTAATGTTCTTTCTTCTGTTAAAGTAATTGCTTGGGTTTCCATGACATGGTCAGCCCAGGACCTGGCTCTTGCCCTATATGAGTTTTGTTGTTGTTATGTGCCATCGAGTCATAGCAACCCCTTCTTGAGTTTCTGAGGCGGTATCACTATGTAAGTAGATTGCCCAACCTTCCTTCAGAGGAGTGGCTGGTGGGTTTGAACAGCCAGCCTTCTGGTTAGCAGTCAAATGCCTTAGGCACTACACCACTGGAATATTTGAATTAAATGAGGTAAAACATGCAGGACATTGGTAAGTATTCAGCGGACTCTTTCTAGTTCTGAGCAGAGCAGGTGCAAAGCATGCCCCAGGCTTGTGCAGCAATGTGATAAACAATGTCCACAGAAGCATGGCATTCTGGAATTCAGTCTCCTTTTAACCACCAGTTGATTTTTTTCCCCATTTTTGCCTAGGCATAAACATATTTGATACATATTTGTTTCATTTTCATTTGATATTTCATGTTTTAAGATTTTATAATTTTTGATGAATTACCTTAAGCAATAATGGTTTCTTTAGCTCTGCTTTTCAAGTAAGAGAACTCAGTAATAAGAGAGAAAAACACATCTTTGACCCAGTATTAGAAATGGACTGACTATGAGTATTTATAATCCATGCATAAATTATCTCATAACTTATGCATAAATTTTTTATAATACATGCATGTTGTTGTTGTTATGTGCCATCAAGTCGGACCCGACTCATAGCAACCCCTCCTTGGATTTCCAAGGCACTATCACTACGGAAGTAGATTGCCCCATCTTCCTTCCGAGGAGTGGCTGGTGGTTTTTACATGCATAAGTATTTATAATCCTTCCATAAATTATTTATTATATTTTAAAGTAATTGCATATCCTTCATATAAATATAAGTTATTTTTGAAATTATATATGCAAAACTAGGAATTTATCCTGATGCTCTCTGTAGGAGGCAGTGATAGAGGACAGTTTGAATAAATAGGTGACTAATGAATGAGACGTTAGAGATACAAAACAAGCAAAACAAGTGACAGAGGAAAGATTTAGACAGATCAGAAAAATCTATTTTGTCCTAAATCTGAATGATGAGATGGAATTAGGAAAGCTCAGTATTAAAGAAAAAGGCACTTTTTTAAAAAGAAACTTTTGTGAGATGATATGTTTCTTTGAAAACCTCATGAAAGCTATTGTCACTTCAAAACAAAAGAAAACAAAACCAAACCCTAAAAGGGTCGTGGAATCTAAGAATCTCAATTTGAGACCTTCTGGAAAAGAGACATAAGATCCCTGGGTGGCCCACTTGATTTGTGCTAGCATAGTGCCTAAGGCATTTGACTGCTAACTAGAAGGCTGGCAGTTCAAACCCACCAACTGCTCTGTGGAGGAAAGATGAGGCAATCTATTCCCATAATGATTTATTGCCTTGGAAATCCAGTGGGGGTAGCTATGAGTTAGAATCAACTCAATGGCAGTGGGTGTTTGATTTGGACTAACCAAAAGCTTGATGTTTTGAATGCATCCATTGACACGGTAGAAGAAAGGCCTGGTGATCTGCTTCTACAAAAATTGCAGACAAGAAAACCCTATGGAGCTCAGTTCTACTCTGTAACACTTGGGGTTATTATGAGTTGGAATTGACTTGACAGCAATGGAATTTTTTGTTTGTTTTGGTAGAGGGAGAGAGAAGTTTTAAAAGTTTTGATCAAAGACTGTAGACTTTAAGGACCTAATTTATGTCTGGAGCTTTCCGTGAAACCACGTACAACTTGGATTTTGAGGATTTACAGTTGGAACACAGAAGAAAGAACTCTGTCTCCGTGGGGCAGAGTTAGGTGGGCTGCAATGGAAGAAGCTGAAATGTGAAAACCAAACAAGGAAACATATGCTAAGCTGAACTGTTAACTCTCCTAGCAGCTTACAAATTGCTTATAACCACACATTTCTTCTACTGGAGAAGAGTAGTTTTAGTTTTAAATTTCTGATTGACTGAATAAGAATATTTCAGCTGGCTCAGCTTGAGGTAGAGATTTGAGAAAAGAGAAGGCAAGTGAGCTTTTATCAAAAATAGATATATCCTTCGGTCTCGTTCCATCATTGATCAGAGGTTCTGCTAAACTTACATAATACTGTACAGTTGGCAACTAGTTTTCCCAATGATTTTGTCTTTTATTCTTCAAAACAGAACCCTAGTCTCAAATCCTGGTTTTCTGACTTGAAGCAGAATGCCCTTTTCTGTAAGTTAAAAATGTTTAGAAACAGTCATGGTGGGTTTTGGCACAATTTAGAAGTCATTGTGTATTTATTATTATTACTTAATAAACCAGAAAATAGTCATCCACAATAAAGAAATTAGTATTTTAAACTTGTACTGATACTGGTCATTTCCAGAAAACCAAAAACCAAACCAGTTGCCATTGAGTCAATTCCAACAAAATGCCTGCCATTTCATAAAGAGCTATTGTATTCATTGGGAGCTATTGCATGCCAAAATAGCTTTGTATCTTTATTATGGCAGAATGGGAAGTTAGGCATACTATATTTTTACCAAACTGAAAATGTTTTGATGTGCCTACTATCATGTTTTGATGATTATAGTTTCTACATAGCAAATAAGTTAAAATATTCTCTATATCTAAAATTTTCTATCAGATTTCTAGATGTGTCCTGTTTTTTTGTATTATTCTAATTTAATATGCACATTTTCCTTTATTTTACATTCATTACTCATTCATTCATTCATTTGCAAATATTTATTGAGTTCTGCTATATGACAGATATTCTTCTAGGCAATGGGATGCAACACTAAAAAAAGTCAAAATCCCTGCTTCTGTGTAGTTATATTCATGAGTGTGCACATGTGCTTTGGGAAGAAAATGATAATAAACAAAGAAATCCTATGTCAGTTAAGTGTTAAGTACTATTAACAAAAATAAGTAAATGTAAAAGGGAAGAATGACAGGGAATTGTTCTAGATAATATGATCATGGAAATTCTCTCTGAAAGTTTCATGGAAATCTTATAGAAAAGTAAATGCAAGAGGAACAGCAAGTATGAAGGACAAAGGTGGAAGCACATTTAATATGTTCAAGAATCTGCAAGGAGACCAGAGTAGAGTGGCTGAGGTCATCTCACTGATGGAGATCAAGGGCTAAAGGTATAGGCCCTGGAAAGGACTCTGAATTTACTTTGAATGAGATTGGGGTTGATGATTGGAGGGTTTTCAGCAAAAGAACATCATGACGTGACTCACATTTTAAAACTGTCACTCTGGCTGCTATGTGGAAAGTAGACTGCATGGTGAGCAAATGGTGAGAGTAGGCCTATCGTAATCATTCAGGCAAGAGATAATGGTGGTTTGGACTATGGTGGATAAGGGGATAAATGTCATTAAATTTAAGTGTATTTTACTGAAGTGAACTCTGTTGGTGTAGTGCCTAAGGCGTTTGACTGCTAACCAGAAGGCTGGTGGTTCAAACCCACCAACCCCTCCTCCAAAGGAAGATTGGCAATCTGCTTCCGTAGTGATACTACATCAGAAATCCAAGGAGGGGGTCACTGTGTCAGATCCAACTCAACAGCAGTGAGTTTTGTTTTTGTTTTTT